ATGAAAAGTAGTTGGCTCTTGTTTTGCTTATCGTTTCTCTGTTTTATTATTAAGATTTTTTCATACATAAATTGAAACATGTCTTTATTGGCTTGTAATTTTGTATTAAGTAAGATTTTTTTTTTGCTTAAAATAGGCTCTAAGTTTGCTTCATAACCAAAATAACAGAAAAAAGTTTTATTCTTAATAATAAATATCATAAAATATTAGAAGTCTAATGTGTGTAAACAAATTATGTATATGTTTGTTGGCAAATTAAGTCCATGACTATTTTTTGCTGCTATTTAGAGAGAAAAATTAGCAAGACATCACGGGGAAGTTATTATATAAATTATTGATCTCTTAATGGAAGAATTTGCATTGTAGATGTGTGTTGTTTGAGATATTGAAAAATTATCAGCATGTGCTTGCTTACTTTAAAATTATTTTATAAAATGGTTGTCAAAAATAAGTAGGATTTTCAAGTTGCAACAGCTCTGCCTTACTAGGCAATACTGATTGCTTTTTGAGCTGTATATTTCATTTGGTTTACTCTCAAGTAATTAATAATTTAGCACGCATATTCTAAGTTTATTTGGTTTTAATAATAAAAGGGACGCCTTTATTAATGAAATATTGAATTCCCTGCACAATTTTATTTTCTCAAAATCTGACACAATATTAGTATTGCAAGAGAAAAAGTCTTGAATGTATTTGGTGATAGCGAGTTGTAACTATAAGTACTAGTATGCAGATTGGTTGTTTGAATGAGAGTGCATGAAGAATGAAATTACTTTCACTACTATGCATGGAATAATAATTTTTGTATTAAGTTAATATGAATATACCCATTGTAGTATTTAATGCGCTCACTTCCAGGCAGTCGTGTTTCTCTTATATGAAGCTTTCTGTTTTTTCTTTGATTATCCTTGCTTGTGTGATTTTTTTTTTGTTATGTACAATTATGTTTTGTTAAAAGTTGCATAGTACTTGAATATCTGTGCTGTTAGCAGTTATGTTAGGAAGTTAATAGTTGGTGAAGTGAAATTAAAAATGATTAGTAAATGTTGAAATGTGATTTGTGATTCAGATACAACAACTCATTTTCGAAATTCATCGAGAAATTGCAACATGAATGGTAGTCAAAACGATCAAGCATCTTCATTAAGGAAGGAAGAAGCATTTGATAATCACATACCCTTGCAATCATCGTTAGGTCCAACGACTTCTACAAATCATTTGCTTACACCAACTTCAACTCCAACAACACAGCGAAGGAATCGTCGAATTTCTAATTTATTTGTATGTGCATAAATGAATTTATGATTTTGTTTTTACTACCAGAAGTTATCATTCAACTTTGATCACGTCAACTAATAATAATTGCTTGTGATAGTTTTTTTTTGTTGATTTTTTTTGTTGATGAAATGAATTCAAACTTCTGTGATATAATCTTTCTAAAATGAATTTAGCAACGGCCTAAAGATCATGGACACGATGACAAGTCACATCGATCAACTGCTGATATTAATATGGGCATGGGCCGAGCAATACCAGTAAAACAAGGTCATCTGTATAAAAGAAGTAGTAAAACGTTGAATAAAGAATGGAAGAAAAAATATGTTTGTCTCCATTCTGATGGTCGTCTTTCTTATCATCAGACTTTAAAGGTAAATATCCATCTTACTGTACTTGCTATGCTTATTGTATGCTTTAAAGTTATAGAATTATTTAAAGGATTATAGAAAATTACAGTTTTTGATGCAAATAAGTAGCAATTACAAATGAGTACTGTATTTTGTTTCACAGGATTATATGGAGAAAGATACGAATGGTAAGCAAGTATTCTTAGGATTAGCAACAGTACGCATTGCTGGACGTCAAGGACCGCGAACGACACAACGTACTCAAATGCATTTAATTCCGGGATCAAGTCAAGATTATCATATTAGTAAAGATACTGGTAATTGTAAGAGGGATTCGTTTGATCCAAGTATGATGCAGCAGCATACAATGAGCATCGCAAGTACGAGTGAGATGGGAATTTCCACTCTTCATGAAAATAAGGCAGCTATCGATGAACAGTGCGTTAATTGTGAGGGTAAGCTTTACACTAATATATCTTTTCTTCAATGTGCTATTACCATATAATAAAATGAAATCTATCCAAAGATATCAAAATTAAGAAATACTAAAGTTTAGTGTTTTTGATTCAAAAAGATAAGATGTAACATTAATAACGCGATATGCGAATTTGGTATAGTGTTTTATAGTTTTTGTTTTCTTTATTTTTTGATAGTAACTATTTATTTCTCTGTTGATGTAAGCCAATTGCATTGTGAATTTCAGGAACATCTGGTGGTAGTGATGATCAGTTGCAGAATGCGCAACCTTTGACTACTAGTACTGGCAGCTCAGTCGTAACTACTCTTGCTGCAGTTGCTACAAGTGCTGGTAAGAAAAAGAAAGGCCATCGTAGATTAGGACAATCTGCTAAAAATGATGAAGGTAACGTATGTATCTTTTTGAATATAGAAAATATGCAAATATTTTGTCATTGATTTGTTACTCTCACAAAATGATAGCGTATTATATTTATGCAAAAATAACTACATTTGAAATAAAATCACGTTGATAAATGTATTGTTTATTAGCAAAATTGTTGATGTATATTGATTATATGTTTGCTATGTTGCAGAAGATGACTGCGAATTCGAAATTGTTACTTGTGATCAGAAGCGTTGGGAATTTTTAGCCACTTCAGTTGAGGAACGCGATGAATGGGTTATAGCGATTGAAGAACTCATTGAAAAGTCTCTGCAGTCTCAAATGTGTCAAAAACATCACAGCGATAACCTTACGCATGGCAACAAAACCAAAGTAGGTTTAATTTAGATTGCATGACGTATAATTTTCGTTTTTTGTATTGAAATTAATGTAAACATTATTTGATTTTCAAGTGTGAATAACTTAAAGCGGAAAATCAGTAAATTCAGGAGTAATATTTCCTACCTTAGATAGTTGTTGTTTATTCGGATACGTAAAGAAAGAATATTGTTTCAGCTATGTTTTAATGAAAATATTTCTCCATTTAACGTATTTTCTGATTTTTTAGACTGATGTTATATATTAGATATTCAAATTGCAATTATGATCATGAATACGAGATAACTGCTTTAAAATACTTCATGCTCGAAGTTTAACTTATTTGGCAAAGATAAAGGATAAATATATTTCAATCTTTTCTTTGATTTGTAACTTAACTTTTTTATATGAAGTACTGAAGGGTTCAAATATATGTATGTTTTGAGTTTATGAATATATTTACTTGCTAAATAGGTACAAGCATTGCGACAAGTGCCAGGAAACGATAAATGCGCTGATTGTGATGCTCCGAAACCGGATTGGGCGTCACTAAATTTAGGAACGTTAATATGTATTGAATGCTCAGGAATTCATCGAAATCTTGGCTCGCATATATCAAAAGTTCGCTCACTTGCTTTGGATAACTGGCCGTAAGTAAATTATCATAATACTTCGTTTCATTGTTAATAAAAGGTTTCAGTGATATAATTGAAATATAAAATTGATGTGCAAAAAGTTTTTCACGTGCAAGAAAAAAACTGGAGATTAAGAAGTATTTGGCAGAATTTATGCACAATACAAGAGACTTGTTTTGATATCTCAGTTCCTTATACTGAATACGTGATGTAAATTTTCCACAAGAAGAAAGCAAAAATCTGGAGTATATAATTTTGTCACTTTTGTTTTCATTTTTGTTTTTGAGTGATACCTGTAGGTGTATTTGAAAATAATAGAATGGTTTACTTTAAAATTTTGTTTAGAAGTGAGTATTTGAGTGTGATGGAAGCGATTGGCAATAAAAAAGCAAATGCTGTTTGGGAACACACTGCTCCTCTTGGAAAAAAGCCATTACCAGGATCATCACGGTAATTTTAGAGTTATTTTTTAAATGATTATTTAAATTTTTCGCTAACCATTAGATTAACAATTGACATTGATGAGTTTATTTATAATTTCATTTCTTACTTTCAATTTTCTTTGATATGTTTGGTCGTATGAAAATGTGAGAGTAAAGCTGAGTGAATTATTGCAGTGAGGAAAAAGAAAGATGGATTAAGGTGAAATACGAAGGGAAGCGTTTTCTGCCACCAATTTTAAATGATCAACCGCTTGGACGACAACTTCTTGATGCTGTTTTCAATAACGATCTCAATGCGGTACTGCCAGTTTTACCCCGCTGTAGTAGTCCCGACCTTAGGACAACAGTTGATTCGAGTGACAAGCGTACAGCGTTGCACATTGCATGTTCAAATGCTTCTGCGGCTTGTACACAGCTTCTTGTTTGGGTAAGTTTTGTAAACTTTTTGTATAATTCAATTTTGCTTTATAAAATGGAAAATTTTCATTTTATTTTCAACTATTTGACTATATTATGGAGTTTATGAATGTGTGATCAAATGAACATTTGTAAGCAAATAGTAAACTTGTAAATAAGCATTGGCAGTTAGCTGATGTAATTAGTTTCTATAAATTAGTGCTTTTGATGATTTATATGATGTGATGTATGAATAATTGTGGTAGATAAATAATGATTAAATAATTTTATTACTACGTTTAATGAATTATGACAGAAACATACTTTAACATGCTATTAAGCAGTTGCTTTGTATGTCTCTAAATATTAATCATTTTTGCTGAAGTGCTTGTCTTGCAGTATAATGCTGATTTTCGGATGCTGGATGAAATGGGCCGCTCGGCTTTATGGCATGCACGAACATCTGGTGCATTAGATTGTGCGGAAATTTTACTTAAAGCAGGCTTAGACCCGAAACATGGGATTCCAGATGAAACAGAAATGATAACTGGTTCATTATCATCTCGAGAATTTTGCAATCCTAGTGATAAGTTGATAATCAATTGCGCCAAATTAAGACGTCAATCAGATGTTGTGGTTCGTCGAATCTCACCTGGGCAAAGTACAATGGGTTCAGCTACTTCAACCTCAAACGGTTTTCAGCAGCGGAATTCGGATGCTTTCGAACGTCTACCAGCAAGCGTTATATGAGAGCATTTTTTTCCTTGAATCTATTCTGGAATTTGTGTGGGTAGTTTATTGCTCTGATTGTTAAAATATATGTGAAGGGTGTCAGGGTTTCTCATCCAATAGATGTAATTATTTACTGTGAGAAATTCTTCATATAATCGTGTAATAGAAAATTAATATAAATTTTGAGTACTTCTAAACTGGTGATGCTACATGTATTCATTGATTCTTCGTATGCGAAAATCAGGAAGTCATGCACTTACTTATGTATCAATGTTTCATTAAGTCTTGGTAGCTGTTCTTAATCTCTGCTATTGTACTTACGGTTAGTTATAAAATAGTAGGATTACTTGACTTCGCAACTTTTGTTGCAAATTACTTTTGTTTTCAGTTTCCACTTTCTTAAATTTGCATACCTGTTGGTGATTTAATGGTCTTTCTCACCGCTCAAGCACTGATGTTTAGCATTTTTAGCAAGCAATAATTTCACACGGTGGCAGTTTTCAAGCCCATGCTTGGGCAGTAATACCATAAACACTCTTTCGAACTTAATCTAGAAACTAATTGCTAACTTTGCAAAAATTTGGGACCATATGGATTCAGTTACTGATCATGTTTCATGAAACGAAAGTTTAGATCCTTGTATTATTACGAAACATGTATAGATGGTACTGCTATTATTTGAGATATTTTTTGAAACGGTAACGACTGTCAGTGCTATTATTAACAGCTTTTTTTTATGTTACTTGTTTACCTGATGTTTGCTCTCTAATATGTGCAATATCTCCGGACATTATTTTGTTCTAGCCGTTCATTAAATCTGTATATATTATTATTTATGTTTTCTGCGTAATTCATGAATTACAAAACACTGGCAAACTGGAGATTCGGATCAACATGTTTATATTTTCTTCTTTCTCACATGATACACTAATATGCAACTTATTATGGCAAATAAAGTTTTTGCTCCAACTACTTGCCATAATATCACTGAGAAATGATTTGTGGAACGGAAATTCCGTTAGAAAACTGTGAAACCCCTTTGCGCAAGGACAGGTCATTTCTTTCATAGAATGTTACATTTCGGTACTGAAAAATCTCGTTCCAATTCGACAGGGACTGAAACCATATGCTAGGAATGGTACGAGAAATAATTTAGTATGTGGATAAAACGTTATGAACTACAAAGTTCACTGTAGCAATCCAGCATGGAGATACACGTCGTGGATAAATATCAAATTTCTGACAGATAAATAACTTCTCAACTGCATTCCGCCTTTGATTTCATGAGTCGCAGATTCAATCATCCAACAGAATGCACAATTTCTACGGTAATATATGGTTTTCACTCAATTAACTGCGATGGTACATGGAATGTGAACCAAGAGATGCATACGCTAGTAGCGTTCCTGTAGCAAGTCCTGTAGTTAGAGCCGCTTTTAGTCCAAGCAATGTCCACGATCGAAAACCCAAGTATATCGCACACGCTCTAAATAAAATGCTCTTATATCATTATTTGAAACTTATGCGAATGTCTGATTGGTCTATAAAAACAAAATTATACATATAAATGTATATTACTGGAAAAGTTAAACACTTCTGCCTTCATTTGTCAGCAAACAAATCACTTTACTAATGATATTTAATTCTTCAGCTGACAGTGCTTCTAGGCAATAAGAATATAAACTTACTGCTCTATGAATTCATGAAATACACACAAAGTGATCAGTAAGACAACAACTCGTCTCATTCCGGATCGTAAGTCATTACGAGTAAATAACCAAACCAATGCCGCCATTGCTAAATAAAAAGCATCATGTAAATAGACTGATAATAATCCCCACGCGTAACTAATAACCAAGAATCCGCACTTAAAAAAAGGAAAACTGCATAGTTTGAACAACGCAACTCGAATTGGTAACACCTTCAAAACTTTTTCCATAGTTATTTTAAAGACTAAAGAATAAAAGGTCAAGCTCACCAATATAGAAAACGAGATCAATATTAGAGTCTAGTGCCATCTGAATGTATTTCCAGTGAAATGAAGTTGCTCGAGCACCCACCCAAAGGCCAACTAATCTAGTGGCAACACTGAAAAAGGTCTCCATTTTGATACATGATCTATCCCACAACACTATCAACGAGAGAACTAGATACCATCTTTACTTTATACGTCACAGCATTAATACCAACTAATTTTGAAGGCAACTACATGCTAAAAATCTTTAATTTACACTTCAGATTTAAACAAATATCTAGACGATTTCAAATTTTTTTAATAGCAGAATCATATAAAATTATTATAGACAAAGAAATATCTTATGGATAATGATTTTGCTAATGTTTATATCTTTAATAAATTAAAAATTATGCAAAAATGCTAGATACATACAAAACTATATCGTGAATTGGGAAAAGTAACCCAAGATATAGCTTCTTCACGTAGTAAATTATAATTTTAATTTAAGAATCACCTGTGCGCAAAGGCCCAACCTAAACCAACAGTAAGAAATCGAACTTCACTTTTACCTGCCATAAGATAAACGATCACTGTGTGCAAACCCATTACATCAAAAATATCCGCACTTGCTTTCATTACTTCCTGAACCACTGTTTTGTTTTGTATTGTGTTTCGTTGAAATTATTATGAGGTTCCAAAATAAAAGGCACATTTATTACTAAGTAATACTGATCAACGAATGGAGCTTTTTTTGTTTACACAAAAAATCAACTTGTTTTTTTTTACGTGGAATCAAGTTGCAGAAGTAAAAAAAAAAGATTGTAAAAATGTTTAGTACTTGACTGCACAATGAAATCTGTCTACGAAATTTGGACAAGAAAATTTCAACAAAATTAGTTCATGCGGAATCTAAATTTTAATTCTGTGCTATGCACATCAATTTCTTACTAAGTTTACGACCCGAAATTTTCCTTCTAGTCTAAGCATGAAATCAAAAACTTCAATAATTGATTACTACTGCAACATTACAAAATAAGCAACTCTTGGAATTCGAAATTAAAATTTAAATAATTTCTATCTTGCGTGAATGAAAAAATAAAGTTAATGAATAAAATTGACAAACATACCGGTATCATGTCAAACCCATCAAAATCACTTGTTGGAAAAAAAGTTGCAAGAACCAACATTTTTCCGAGTTGAGTTAACAAATACGCTAGCACTGCATAAGTACATTTCCAAATGGAGCAATATTCAGATAAACCAGAATACCTATACGCGATAAAATATGGCGCATATGACAAGACAACGCAATTGACAAAATGAAAAAATGTCATCTAAATAGTGTAAAATTAATGCGCGTAATTTCAACAGTAAAAATAAATGAATTAAGCTTTGATTATAACACGTTTAGATATTACTACATGAGATATACAAAAAATTACTCCTGCGTACTCATCCTATCTGTTTTTCACAATCTTTCTTTTTTTTCTACAGGAGGTAAAAAGTTTATGATAGATTATGAAAGAAAGTTCTATCCAAATCAAAATAAAAAAGTTATTCTGCCATTTCTTTTTTTTTTATTTACACGAAACGTAACATCTTTTTTTAATTGAAATCTACGTGAAACCACGCTGCAAGATTTAAAAAAAGAAAAGTACTGTAGAATTATTAAGTACTACTTGAGCACACCATAAAATCCAACCTCACATTGCAGGTAACACTAATGTACGCAGTGCACACAATACTCAAATATTTGCAGTACTCAGTAAGCAAGTATAGCCCGTTAAAATTACTTATAGGTATTAAACAGAAATTAATGGGCCGTAATTCATATTATTTAACATCAGTAGACAATAATTCAAAATTAAAATATTGCTGTTAGTCGTATATTGAGAGTTACACGCGAAACTTTAGTGGTCTGTTGGATTAGACTAGTTGGTTACATCATTTTTCACTTAAGTTCGTAATTAGTTACTAGAAGCAATATTTAAGAATATCAAAAGATTATTGACGGAAACAGAGCTAACATTGGGAAGAATCAAAAAATGAACGGATTATTGAAAGTTACGATTGGGAGTTAAAAAGGCGATAGGGTTCATAAATAATTGCTAGAATGAAGTACAAGTAAAAAGTTAAGTGTAAGAAGTCGTAAAAACTGGATTAAATAGTGCTTACACAATGAGGAAAATACATTTCTTTATCATTTTTTAGTTCCTAAAAATGACTTCCTGACTTGTCATTTCTCCTTCTTTTTATAAACTATATACTGGCTTGACCTCACTTGAACTACATTTTCTCACCGCCATTATTCTTTGAACACGTGTGCACTGACTTAATCTTCAATTGAAAAAGTGTTACATCGACTTGTGCATTATGTATGTTATCATTTTTATCATCGTATTTGTTGTTTACTTCTCTAATTTTTCAAAAATCAGTGAGAAGGTAGTGAATATTTTTAGTATTTTTACGAATAATGTCTCTGCTCTGATACAATTACATATTTGAAAATGCCAATTAGTAGTTATTAATTCATACATGTTCTTCGCTTGTTTTTATAATTTATTAATATTCACTTTAAATTTACTTTCAAATTTTTTGCAAAGGAATATGTCCCCTCGAGCTTATCCATCGTTAGAATATTCTTCTACGAGAGATTTCTCACAACAAACTCCCTTCAAGCAAATGAAATCACTTGCTTATGATAGTGCTTCTGATTCGGTATTGAAAACACCAAAGGATTTACTGAGTATAACGCCAAAAGCATTAAGAAGATCACCGAGGTTAAAATGCTTCCTTGTTTAAAAGTAATTATTCATGAAATTTTTCATTATTAATGGAACCAGGTTTGTTAATTACTCATGAAAATCTAGAATAATGTCCAATATTGCAGAATACTAAAGAAATAGAAGCAATAGTACATACCGGAAATTTGGCAGGATTGTGCTAGTCCTTTTGTTAGATTAACGAATTTGATATTTTGATGTGATGTCTGATAAACAAAATTTGCCCAGTGCTATGAAATTTTTATACTCACGTTTACTTTCTTTTCATGTATAAAGATCAGGCACCACCAAATCATTTAAGATGGAAAATGTTGACTAGAAAAAGTTATTTTGATCTAAAATCTTAAATTCGAAAACCTATTCGTATTTAAAAATTTATTACATTTTCTACTGAAAGCAGCAAAAATTAAGTGTTCACACTACTTCATTATATAACTTTTTTATTTTAAGAAAAATTTTATTGTAGATTTGCTAGGCATACTTTGAATTCACGCCCAGTTCCGGTTCCTGATCTGAATAATTGCTCGAAGAAGTTTAAAATACCAAAATTTCAATTACAAGACACAGGTGATAATCAGCAGCAATATTCTTTTAATTCAACATGTAATAATGATTTCTAGCATTATTACATGGTAATATAACTTTGAGACATATGTCTTGCATATCCAGACTTCATGCTTTTTCAACAATTTCCAGATTTGCCTTCATCCAGTATATCTGAAAGAAGGGAGCAGAACAGACGGCGCCGAGTCAGTTGTCCTCAGTTAGCTGAACAGTACATGAACTCAGAGGTTCTGAGAATAAGATTTGGCTTATTATCATGATTGAATAATAACTGGATTATTATCATATGTATGAAGTTTTGAAATAATCTTCAGATCAATGGCTCCGATTCAAGTTCTTGTTTTTTCATCAGCTCATCAGAGTACTCTGAGGCTGAAAAAATGAGAAATGTTTGTAACCTCTATAAACAGTTACGGAAAATTTCAGCTTTTTACGGTAAGTGCTGGCAGTTTGCAGGCATTATTGTACATTATTATAGATTTACTTTTCATGCACATAGCCATTTTTAATTTTTCAAATTTAATGATTTCGTGTGGGTTTTTCATAACAGCCAATCCTTAGCATGAAGTGTTTTTAATGTATTCAGCAATTTTATTTTGAAGAATATAATTAGAGCAACTACATTTTTCTTTTCATTATGTTGATTTTTATTTATATTTTTTATTTTCTTAAAATATTTTCTTTAATACTTTTTTGGAAATTTATTTTTAGATTGGCAAGATCAGTGTTTAAGTGACGAACATTTGTTGAGTGGTTCAAATATGATTTTATCAGTGACGACAGGTGCTGGTAAAACAGTCATTGCAGAGGTTACACTTCTGGAACTATTTTTTATCAATATTTGAGTTTTCCGAATATTATGTTTTTGTTTTAAAAACACCATATTTATTAGTACTAGACTACCGTTTTTATAAAGTTTATTTTTATGATTAGCATTTTTTTTAAGAAAAATTATTACATCAGATTCCTTTGGAGTAATCACTGCAGGTTTTAATGCTGCGAGAGATTATTATTCGAAAGAAAAGTTGTATTTTTATTCTGCCATATGTTGCGATCGTTCAGGAAAAGGTGGGTTCATGCATTCGTAAGGATAATGAATAGCGTGGTATTTCTCTAACAGTTATTTACTTCTAGTTGAAAAATTCACTTTTTTTAAAATGCAAAGTTCTGTATCAAAAACAGTTCTTTCCAAATATTTATTAGCAACATGACCATATAGTTTAAAATTCATCTTTTCATAATTGTTATTGGTTGTGTTTACCCTTGGCCAATACAATTTTAATTAATAAAATTGCTCAAAAAATAGTCCTGAATTATGATTCGCAATTTTTAGATTCGTTCACTATCTTTGTTTGAAGATAAATTCGATGTTTGCGTGGAAGAATATGCAGGAAACAAAGGTAAACTGTTTTGTTCTTTGAATTTAGTAATTTTTTTAATTCAAGTATGCAGAGTACGTTTTCCCAAATACAAGTAGTCGCCTCAATTTGAAATGATATATTTTTGACTGATAATATAAAATAATATTTTTGACTGCATAATAACTAAATTACAATGTCAAACTCCAGTTCAGTTGATGAAGGTGAATTTGCGGCAAAACCGATCTAATATATTTCGATAATCTATATGGTGACCAGATTTAGTAAGGTTATTCATAAATCTACTGCTCTACTATGTGACATTGCCATAATTGATAATTTTAGGTCGATTTCCTCCTGTAAAACGGCGTAAAAATGTCTCTATTTACGTTGCTACTATTGAAAAAGCAAATATGCTAATAAACAGTTTGATAGAAACGAACCGTATTGATGAAATTGGTGTTGTAGTAGTAGATGAAGTAAGTTGTTATAGTCATAATTTTTTTGAACAATAATTTGTATTCATTACATATCCTTATAGTAACTGTGATTGGTGTTTTCGTTGCTCTCTTGTGTATGGGAAATCATTATAAGATTAAGACATATGGATTAATCTGTTGTATTATCTATTTACATAGCATACTGGCAGATTTTGCTGTTTATTTCTATGAAGCAGTTTAGTTACACATGATAGGCGAAAATGGTCGTGGAGCCATCTTGGAGCAAGGACTAATTAAGATCATGCGAAAGGGTTCGTTTTAGAGACATAATTTTGTTCTGTATGTTGAAATTTTATATATAAAGAGAGATATTTCAAAGTTGCTTTAAAAATTAAAGATTGTTTTTCACTTTAAAAAATAGTTCGGTCCAAAAGACTGGGTGATACATATATTTCAAGGAACTAGAAATTGAAATTTTACCTTTGTTAGAAAGCTGAGGAAGTCAGTACAATGCACAGTTTTCAGGGGCCGGTCAAGTGCTTGGTATGTCAGCAACTATTTCTAATTTGGATCAACTTTCAAGGTTTCTTCAAGCAACGGTGTTTACTACGAAATTTCGTCCTGTGTGTTATTTATGACAAATACATTTTAGCAAATAATTATGTTCAATGCACTTTTTATTTCATCAAAATGCACTTTTGATTTGCTCAAATCCATATAATATGATGCCTTATCCTGGTTTGCATTATGAAGTAAAATAAATTAAATTAACTCTTGGTTTTATTTAGCGTGAATATGATTTAGAATTAACTAATGCGCCAAATTAAAAATAATTTGCTTTAAAATTTTTGTAGGTAAAACTAGTAGAAAAAGTAAAAATTGGTCGCTCGTTGTATCTCGTCAATGAAGAAGGAAAACTAGAATTTGAAATGAGCTTAGCAGAAAATGTATGTTTCTAAAAAAAGAGCATTTTGTTTCTCAAAAATCATTTCTCTCTTTGTCTTGTTAAGGATGTGTTATGTATGATTTCCGGTCCAACTTCAGTTTTTTCAGAAATTAAGGAATCGTGATCCAGACGGACTAGTATCATTGTTAAAGGATATTGTGCCAAAACGATCTGTTCTTATTTTTTGTCCCACCAAACAAAATTGTGAAAATGTGTGCAAAATGGTTTCTTATTTGGTTCCAAAGTTAGTTGTTCTTTGTTGCATATTTTTGTATTCAGTACACATTATGTGCGTCGTCTTACTACTGATAATATTTTGTAATTACAGGAACGAAAGTGTCAAAACAATTTTTGGAAATCTGATACTGAGAGTTATTAAATGTTAAATTCCAATTAATTTTTTGTTATGTCTTATGTGATTCATAATTTATCTTAGGAACGTCTGCGAACGTAAAAAAACTGAAAGACAAGCTGCAGTGGAAGCATTAAAAAGTGAGGAAGATGGAAAATTTTCTTCGTTTTTAGAATTAAGTATTATGCGTGGTGTTGCATATCATCATAGTGGTTTAACAGCAGATGAAAGAAGAATTATAGAAAGCGCTTTTCAGGTAGTTAGATGATGCTGAGCATGTTTAATTGCTTATTGAATTGTTTGATGCAGCTTATTTCCCAGTTTAATCTGAAGATCATTTCAAAGTTAATTTCAGAGATACAGCTAAAATTAAAAGTCAGTTTGTATCATGAATTGTGCATAAATTTCAAAAGGTTCTAATATTACTTCCATTTTTAATCCTTAAATAATTGGAGGATGGTGTAATAAATATCATATGTTGTACTTCAACTCTGGCAGCTGGAGTAAATTTACCTGCTAGACGAATAATAATCAAAGCTCCTTTTGTGGGAAAAAATTTGCTCAGTAAAGCTCAGTACTTACAAATGATTGGTCGTGCAGGTCGAGCTGGCTATGATAATATAGGAGAAGCAGTGACAATTTTGCACTCAGGGTGTGAGGAAAGCAAGGTAATATTTTATGGAAATGGCTTTTAAAGTATGAAAACTCCTAAAAATGTTTAAAAACATTATTTTAAAGAATGAAGATTTAGCATACAATCATGTTTTTTTTTCACTTTTTAAAATTGATATACCCTTGAATGAAATTAAGATTGGAGTAATTTACTGCAACTTATTTTAAGGTGCTCTAAAACATATTTTCAAAGAAAAATTGTTTGCTTAATATTAGCCGAGTTTTAATTTTTTCTTTCAGTTTTTGGAAATGATTAGTGGGCCAATACCAAGATGTAATAGTTCACTAAATGATTCGGCTGTTTTTTCATCATTGGTTCTCGATCTAATCTCTCTAAAGGTCAAATATATTCTTGTTCTTTAATGTCATTCAGCATCTTATATTTACATCATAAAGTTTTGATGTATAAGATTACAGTGAACGATTTGAAAGATCATTGAGGTGCTCTAGAATAAATTTTATTACGTTTTTGGTCTTTTACAGATAGCAGAACGACTGGAACAATTGGAAACAGTGGTGCAACAAACATTATTAGGCATACAGGACAGCAGTAATAGTAAAGTTCTTTTAAAGCGAACATTAAGCTATTTAACAGAACATGATTTGATAAACGTTGATAAAGTATGTTATTATCTAATTATTTTAACTATCCTCTTTTTCAAAGGAATATACATTACTAGAATAATTGAAAATTAGTAGATCATATACACAGTAAATACTGGCAACTTAGACTGGAACTAAGGTGTATTTCTAGTATTAATTCAAGTAAATACATGTTTTGAATTTACAAATCGACAAAAAATAACTGTATTCTAAACAGAAATTTGTTTGTTACCAGAATGGGAGATATTCAACTTCAACGCTAGGCTTAGCAGTCTTTGCAGCCCTTTTATCACCATTTGCGACCCAGCAGATATGCAGTTCATTATTAGAAAATATGAATAAGGTTGCTTTTTGTCTCGTACTTCCTTTAAAGTTACTGTGAAGGTCGGAAAAATCATGGAACAGATTTAAAGGGAGACTATCATATGTCTCATACATTTAGTGAAGAATTTTTCGGTCTCATTATCTACCATTTATATATTTAAATGCTATAAATATGCAAATTGTTTTTAAAAAATTTCTACTACAGTGTACGAATTTTAAAGCTGTTGCTGCAAATCAAGTGATAACTTCTTTCGATCAAAAAGTTAAATAACGTTCATTATAAATAAGACCTATGAGGTGATATATTGTTCGGATTACTTAAATACACGTTATGAAGGCTCTCTTATTTGAATAGTAGTATCGAATTATGTAGAAGCACATCTTTTTTTTTTCACCATTCAGATGATCAGTTTGTAATAATTTTGAAATATCTGGTTGCAGTTTAGTTTGCACTGCATTAATATTAGTTTTTTAAAATTTATTCTCTACATATTTTTTAAAATTTATTCTTTTCCTTGGCAAGCTTATTTTGTTCGAAAACCACAAAACTTCAGGGTGTTGTACTTTCTTCGAATTTCCACTTAATATTGATGATGGTACCATTCGATATAGATGTAGATGTAGATTGGAATATATTTTATGATGAGGTTTGTATAATCATATTTTCAGTTTATACTAGTGCTTTCCTTGTCTACACTTTTCAAGAATTTTCGGCTGATGTTTATTAAACTCAAGCTTTTTAGAGCGCTTTAATTTTAGAGTTTTCAACTCATTTCATATGAAGAAGAAAGATTTTGTATATAAGCCAATCTGTTTTTTAGAACTAAAGAATGCTGTATTTTGAAGAGTTTATCATAATCAGTGCATCATTTATTACATTACTCAACTTTGCAGTATAAGGCATTGTCTAAATCTGAACGAATTTTACTGGAAAGATTTGGATTAAATGAAGAGCAAATTGTGAAGTGCTTAGTGGATAAACCTACTTTAGTAAAATTTTATTTTTTGAAAATATGAGCAACCTGTTGAAAATTTGAGTAGCTATTGAAAATATGAGTGAACTCAAATTTTTAAAAAATTAATCATTATAGACATAATAATATTGTGCAAAATAAGTTAACATTCCGGGTTACTGTAATTTAGTTTTTTATTTAATTACCCGAGGTACCAAGTACTTTTTTAAATCAAATCTTTTGTGAAAATATGTTTTACTCATATATTTCTATGCACTATTCTGTAATTCAATTAGTTAGTGTGGCGAAAATCGCATAATTATTTGATATTTTCTGTAATTGGCTTTCTGCATGGATAAAGTTATCTCTACTCAGTAAAGAAATTTATGAAGAAATTAAACTTTTCTAATGTGAGTTATTTGGTGTAATTTTATGTTCAATTTCAGAATGGGAGTGAACCATCACTGCGCGTTTATATTTCATTTATGTTGCACCGCCTGTGGAAACAAGAAACGTTTTTCGATGTTGCAGAACGTTTCCATGTATCACGTGGATGGCTTCAGAATGTTTTGCAATCTACAATCTCTCATGCATCATCAATTGCGCGTTTTTCTGAAGTATAAACGGTTTTCACGGTTATCACTTCGTTTTTTTTCCTTCGATATCTTTGCAGACTACGAAATAATATTTATAGAAAATACCTTCCCTTTGGCCGTTGAAGAACTTAATACCTGACTTAGTGCAGCATATGAGGAACTGTTCACACAAAGAACTAATTCCGTTACTTGCTTTAGATTGTGTTAAAAAGGGACGAGCTCTACAACTTTATAACGCAGGTATTGCAAATATCATATTGCTGTGAAACCCAAGAATTATAAATTTGTTCAGAATTAAGTTTTTGGTATTTTTAATTTCATTATTAGGCATGACATACAATTTTCGTTGGATAATTTGTTTAGATCTTTCAAAGTTATGTTGGTCCATTGGGCCAGTAAAATTGTATTGAGTAGCATTAGTTTATCTTTAAGGCTTCAAGACGATTGCATCTATAGCATCTACAGAACCATCACTGCTTCTATCAGCTATCAATCATTTAAATAAACAACAAGCTTCATCAATTATCAAAAGTGCCAGAGTATGACATTGTTTTATGTAGAATAAAGTTGCTCAAATGCATAAGAATTTATCTCAACAGTGATTTAAAGAATGACAATCTTTAGCGTTTAAAACTATTAAACATGAACTGGGTATCTATTCGCACATTATTTTTGTTGTCTTGAAAATAGCAACTTTTGATTATCAACTTAACAGCTTCAGTAATTGATAAAAATGTCACTGTGTTCTTTATATCTTTTTATTAAGTAGCTTGGAACAAAGATTTTTTTCACTGCTATTTCAATAAGAAAACTATATCGCCTAGTAGTTTAAAAAGCAAAGAAATATCTGTTTATAAAATTCTAATGTTTAGGTAATACTTCGCGATCAACTTGCTGAAAAAATCGAACAATTGGAAGAGGAAGTTGGTGCAAATGCAGCTGAAATTTTAGCAAAATTTTTAGTAGAATCCTAGAAGTTAATGTTGCAATATTTTAAATTGGCAGTTCGATCAGTTGACGGCAGGAATTATTACTATAACAAGGGTTTTTATGATTGTACAGAAATTGTTTTCGTTTAAGTTTTTTGACATGCCTTATTTTCACGATGATTTGTTATGCAGTCAAAAGTTTTCTATAGTTTGTGTTATGTGTTTGATTAACTTTGTAAGTGGTTGAGAGCGAAATGAAGAAGAGGAATACTTATATGACTGTAAATTTAAATCTGCAAATAGCCTGCATCAAAATTTCTTGTGATCTAAACGGCGTATTCCATTTCAGTGCATTTCTACTGTGTTCTTGTGTTGTGCAAACACCTTGTAATTTGTACATCAATACTGTTATTGTGTTGTATAAGAACACGAATAATAATTTTTTCATAATTTTCTGTGGTGCGCTGCATAAATCATCATTACAACAAATGTTAATAATAGCAACATTAATGAAATTATTGTAACAGTTAATATCAGTCTTTTGTAACGAATCAAAAAATTGGGTTGCTCTGTATACTTCTCATTATCGTATTCAAATATTACTTCCGCTCTTTCCGGCGATGTCTCTTCTGGAGGGCTAAAAGGACAGATTTTAAAACTAGGATTCGCAGTATGTTTCAAGTAAAAAGGGGAGAATGCGATATTTCAGAAGAAATAATCTGATCGTAAACTGATATACATAGTAGGTGAATGAGATAATATGGATATTGAAATATTCGGTCATTTTCTGTGTGGTGAGGCATTTTTAGAACTAAAGTACCTGAGGACAATGGTTGGAGGAGGACTTCGAAGTGCACTTTTGTGAGACACTGAATGTTTCTGGGCTGGTCCGTGTAGTAGAGGTTGTTTTGTTGGAGAACCGGATAACATTCCGTGAGATCCACTGAAGTTATGATAAATTATCTTGAGATTATGTTAGCTGTATTTGACCATTTACAAGAGTAATTGTTTTAATTCAATTCGAAAAAGTTTTAAAAGTGATGTAAACTTTTTAAATAACTTTAAAAATACTTTTATGCAATTATTCCTGATTGTACAGTACCAGATGTATAGTTAATTAAAAATTAAAGTGAACTGAGTAACGGTAATTCTTGTAATTATGTATTGAGAGTATCGAAGCAATCATTAGCGTATATGAGTAATTTTTAAAAATTTTTTTACTATGCACTGATACTGTTGCAATTTTCGCCCACGAGTAGTATGAAATTAAGTAATAAAATATATTGGTATTAGGTAGCAAAGAAATTCCTAAAATATAAATTAAATGTAAAAATTTAAAAACTACTCATGCGCAAAATCAGTAGAAATGATATTTTTAGCACCGAAGATATGATCATGGGAAGCTGATGATAAATAATATTCTACAATTAGTACAAATGATATTTTGAGCATGTGAGTGTAGCAAAAAGTTTTAGATAAAAATAAATGAATTTTATAGAACTTAAATTAGCATTAATAAAATTCAATCAATATTTCAATTTTGTACACTGAAATTAAAAGTGAATCAAACTGAGTAATGAATAAATTCAAAGTTTTATTTATAAATAAAAACAATTTAGTACTTTAACATTTATCTTATTCTGTTTAAAAAATAATTTTTATAAAAAGTCAAACCTTTTTAACACATCACTGTTCAAAGTATCTTTTGGTACGTCGTAATTGCGTGTAACGGAATAATGTTTGCTTCCTGATGGCTTACTGTATGCTGAAAGTACAGTACACAGTGATTATGAATCTACTCTATTATCAACTAAACATTCATCATGTTTCTGCACCTTACCGAGAGATCCTTGCTCAAAACCAGTCATATCCCCACGTGGTAAACTGTAATCTCGATAAGGAGAATCAGTATCAACACATCTATTAAACAGGTTACTGTCAGTAGAAGGTGCAGGCACTTCTGTATCGCATGTTATTTGCAAATCTTTCATTTCTGCAAATAACGTTAACAAATTTTGCAAATTTTTTCAGGTTATCATCAAAAGTATTATTGACGTAAAGTGAAAGACAAGCAGGACCATCACGTAACTGTTAATTTATGTATATTTTTGATTTCCTTTTCAATTTACAAATTGCTTCACAATTTCAATTTCTGCGATAAAATCTTTCAAGTGCAAAGAAAAGAACTACGCAATTTGTAGCTGAAATATTAGTCTATTCAATACAAAATATGCCGGAAAAAAGGTTATTAGCTATTATTAAAAAGCTGCAATGAATGCAAAGAATTGAAAAAGAAAATGCTAACTTTTAAAATTATATTCATTTAAGTGAGGAATAATTGATAGCAAATTTTTATTCGCTCAGAAATACTTTCCATAATTTACATTGGATGGAAAATATATGCTTTCTTATTAAATATTAGTAAGAATTCAATTAACTAAAATAGCTACAAATAAGTGTGTAAACAGATGAATACACTAATTAATAAATGCATTAAGCGTTAAACATTTATTAATTAGTAAAAAAAATTAGCAGGGAAATCAATAATTGCAAACAACAATTTATCGCATAAATAAATACATAAATATGAATAGATAACAATTTTATTTATTTTTCATTTCGTACATGTGAAAATACGAAAGTAAGAAAGATGAATAGTATTTTGCAGATATTTAAAATTATATCTGAAATGAATACTCAAAATGTGATAAAAAAGGTCACATTGTTTAAAATTTTATGGATTAATGCATAATTATATAAGCCTAAATATGCTAAAGTAAATTATGTTAGCATTTTAAATAAGTTAGTACCAAATTTATAATTGGTTTTCTTCCACAAAAAGGCTATGTAATTTGAATTTGAACGTCGATTATCAGCAAGGAAGAAAAAATTAAGCATAATAAATCTTCAAAAGTATTAACAACTTTTAAAGGTCAAATATGCTTGTATCAAGTAGAAAGGTTAAAGAAGTGAGTTTTGACTGCAATACTACTTAAAAATCAGAAACTTCTGACTTTCTAAGCAAATTTGTGAATTGAATTGATTTTCTTGTAGGAATCAGTTTATCGTTTTTGAAAAGCTGTAAGTAATAAAACCAATAAATGAAGTAAAATAAAGCAGTAGTAATTTGTTGGATGACATATTGACTCAACAACAACTGAAATATAAAAAGTAAAAAAGTCACAAATACGAGAAAAAATCAAAAAATCTTTTAAAAAAATACACATTTATCAGCAAAAATAGCAATTTTGCACGTTTTTAAGTTATAATTTGATTAAATAGAAGCAAAATTAATTGTAATTTATTCTTTACATCAAACTTTTGATGAATTCTTTTGTTAATTTTATCTGAATTTTATATTTCAAATTAATAACTTAAGTAAAAATAATTAATAAATCAACTGAAAGTATTTTTGGTATAAGTAAGTGAGTGCAAAGTATCCATGCATGCTGATGCAATCAAATATTTGCGCCTTTTTTATTTTCTTACAATTTTTTCCTTCAATTTATTCTCTTCTCTGCTTTTTATTGCTTTACAATAGTAATAAAACGATGAAAAAATTGACTTTGCAAGCAAAAATTGTTGCAAGAAATAGTAAAAATTTAAAGATAGTTCGAAGTATTAATTAATCTTTTATTTATTTTTTAAAAACACAAAATTCAATTAAAAAATAAAAAGTATTCTCTTTTTCAGAAGTGAATAGAAATTAGATTACGAGAGAACAAAATTAATTGCACAAAATCCCGTTCATTAATGATAAAAAGAAAGTTTAGAGAATAATATTAATTATAAAATACATTTTTTAATGTTTTATTTTTCAAAGGAATCGAATTTGCTTAGCAAAGTTTAAAATTCATAATTTGTGTTGATTAAAATTAGAATTAATAATCATTGCAATCACTGCCATAAATGAGTGATCATAAAAGCAGCAAATAATAATGTAACTGACGATTATTTAAAATAATTATTAATATCAGTCAATATTGAGAAGTGAAAATTATGAATAAAAGCATATGCCATAGTTAGAAAGATATGTGGGAAAAATATTTATCAACGAAATATTCAATATTGCATTTAAATAACAATAAAATATATTAATTAGCAAAAGAAATTGTTAAAAAGAATTCATCATGCGAATTAATTACAACATATCTTAAAGATATTGATTTATCGAATTGTTACTTTATTATAAAAAAGTAATAATTAAGCAAATTTTGATTATAAATCAATTGTAGAAGGGAATATTTTGAAAAATGTAAAAAAAGTCTAAGCCTGAAATTTTGCAAGAATTTTAAAGTTTAAAAAGTTTCACTTTTTTATTGTAACTTCAAAAAATGTTAGGCATTCATTGCAAGAAGTAATTCCTAACTTTTTAGAAGAATTTTTTGTCGAAGTCTTCACGGAATAAATTAACGCAATGAAATTATACCTTTTAAATTTGCTTATATTTCAAGCATTTATTTTTTAAATCTTAGTTTTAATTGTTGGATAAATATTGAAACTTTAGATGAATATTTTAAATGCAATGTGCAACAATTTTAGTGAAAACAATTGCAACGAATTTATTAAAATAAATTAAGAGCAATTAACAGTAACAAATAAATATTTTAGTTTCCAAAGTGTCAAAGTACTATTTTTTTCAAGAAAATTGTAGAACAAAAAGGACATCAAGGTATGCTAAAATTAAGAATTAAAAGTAAAATTTATTTAATCACTTATTTATTTATTTATTTATTTATTTATTTATTTATTTATATTTATTTATTTATTTATTAAAGAGTTGAATAAATTGGAATTGAATACAAAAAAGAATTATTCTATTATTCATTAAATATTTTTTTACTAAAATGGGTCTTAGTATCGCTGCACAGTCCGTTGAAAATAAACACTTTTAAACAAAACTATTATTTTCAAAGTGGAAGAAACCAAAATTAAGCTATTTTTTGAATATTTTTAATTATCAAAAGTGTGAATTTTCGTGCCATGCAGTAAACGAACTGACGAAGATGATAGAATAAAAACATACACCCACAATTTGACTCTTTTAGTGTCTTCAATTTATTTCATTTTAGTAAAAAAATACTGAAACGATCGAGAATGCATTCTTTTTGTGTTAAAATTATTTTTAGCATTTTAGGAAAAAAATTCAAAGTATTATTTTTATATAATTATTAAAATTTATGAATTCAAAATATTATTTTTTTATATAATTATTAAATTTACAGTAATTAAATTTAAATTTTTTGAAAACTAAAAGTTATTACAACACGTCAAATTTAATGCAATTATTGCAATATTTTAATCGAAATTCGCTCCAAGCGCAAAATTTTTCATCAAATCACAAGGGGAAATTTTCTGTTCATTCAATATCCTAAAGTTGTGCTCAATTAAAAATGAATGCAATTCAGGCAAGTTTAAATTTTTGTCATCCGAGTAGCTCTTTTCTTCACTCGAATAATCAGTCTGTTTTATTTGAATAACCTTTTAATGCTTATAATTATTAATCAAAAGTTCTTTGCTAAATGGATTCATTTGCTTGTATTACTTATTTTTTTTATAACAGTGGTTGCTTATGAGAAAATTCATTGAAACGATAATATCACGATAATTAGACTTTCTAGTTTACACTGTTAAATTTCAGACAAAAGTTAATTCTTCCTTATGTTTAGGTTATGATAAGTTAGAAAGTTGACAAATACAAAAATAGCATAATAAGTTATATGTAGAAAAACTAGAATTCAATGAGGCATACAATTTAGAAATACTTTGGATAATTTCATTAAAAAATTTGAAAGATTATAAAAAGTTTATAAAAATATGACTTGAAAATTTTTTATTTTTAATCGTTAAAAATAAAAAACAAATAAAAATATTTAACTATTAAATTTAAGCAATAAAGTTTTTATTTGGAAAAATTAAAAGTTCAATAATAATAAGCGATAAAATCAAACATATTCCAATCGCTACTTACATTGTACGAAAATTTATCATTATTTTTATTGTTTTGTAGGATTATTTATGACCATAATAAGATAAAACAAAGATGACGATAACAAATAAGATTTATGAATCCATTAAAACAATAATAAAGATCATGAATTTAGCATAATTTTGCAGACACATATCGATTACAATAACGATAATATCACGATAATTAAAGGTAATTGTGTAAAATCATTGGTGTCAAAAAAAGTATGACGATTCCTTACAATAATTAATATTAAGTGTATTAATTATTAAAATAATATTTGTATTTGTGATGATAGTAATATGAACAACAGTGATAACATGGAAATAATAAACTTTTGAAATGTTTTAATATGTTCGTGAAGGATGCAAAATTTGGATGAATCATTCGCCGAGCATTCCAAAGGGATACATTAAAACGAACTGTAGAACGTACATTGCACGCACTAAAAAGTGAAGGCAAGAAAACAATTTCTCAAAATTTTTTATTCTTCAGAAATATTGCATGCAATTTTTACACTTCAGACATAATTATAGTAGCGGAAATTTTTTTTGAATTGAATCTTACTTTAGCATTAACTTTATAATTGATTACAGTCACGTAACGTAAAAACTATCATTATTTCTAGAAGATAGAAAAAAATCTTTTAAGCATAAAATTTTACTTGTTTTCCCATAAGACGCTTAAAATTTTCCAGATTAAATTGGAATTCAAAATTAAAATGACTAGATCAAAGATATTATCAGATGTATACTGAAGTGTGATTAGCTAGCTAGTGAGTAACTATAAATGATAAAGTAAGTCAGTTGGATAGCAGAAGTAACAGCAGTCAAACGCATAACTATTTTGATAATTTGTGAAGTATTAACATGAATGTTAATAAATAAAAGTCAGTATCACTACTGACCGTGGCAGCTTATATGTAGCATCTAGCACTACAAGTATTAGCTGTTGTTTAATACAAGGATGTAAACAATCATCAACAAGATCAACAGCTAATATCTAATAATCAAACTGCTTCTG